GATTTTTTTATTTTGGGGAAAAGCTTTGTGCAGCCCTGATATATGTATATAAACTGAAACAGCTGGACTAGTGCATCCTAAATTTTACATAAATTAGTTATTTTAATACAAAATAGTCATTTCAGCATTTTTTGGGGAAGTCACAACCTAATAAATGTCCTTACAGAAATTCTAACTGCTCATTTTAAATCAGTACTTTTACTTTTAATACTTAAGTCCAAAAAATATCAGATACTTTTAGACTTTCACTCAAGTAATGTTCCTAAAGAATACTTTAACTTTTACAAAGGTAATTTTTTGGTAAGATACTTGTACTTTTACTCAGCTGACACGTTACATTTTGGTGTCAACTGGGACCGCTTGGAACCACAATGAAGTAGTTACTAAAAAAAAGGGCCGGTTCCATGAATCTGGCCTAATGGAAATGGCTTGGAACTGTACCGAACCGTACCGACACTAAGTGGCACTAGTGGAAAAGGGGCATAAGCACACTCTGMGGTACCTGACGTTTTTTAGCAGGAAATTAGCTTGTGAGGAGTGTTGAACAGCACAGAGTGGGAGCCTCACACGGTCGGGAAGCTCCAGCTTAGGAGAGGAAACGATGGCACGCAGGCAAACTTTGAAGCTGCCTTTGTTATCCTGAAGCTCAACGCTGTCCTCATACTCACACTGTCCAGACACACCGTATTACACATGCAGATAACATGAAACAGCTAGAGTGTGTTATTTTATGTCTTTCAGACTTTTTTTCTGTGATTTTAAAATTCCACTAAATATATGCTTTATTTAATATAAAAAAAATGAACGCCTTACCCTTTGTAACGGTCTAAAGGTGATTGGCAGGGAGAATAAAGCCCCTGGGCTAAGAACAACTATCTGAGGGATTGAGGCAGAGAAAAACTTGGACACTGGAGGTCTGTGAGAAAAATAACAGGGGTTGTTATCACGCACATCAAACAGTAAAGCAGGGAAATGTAAGTGTATTTGTGATGGTGTACTGTATGACCTAATGTGCAGTTTCCACAACTTGATATAGGTGTTTTTTATCACCAGCATCTTGGTGTACTTTCCTCCCAGGTCCCAGTCTTCCCATATCAGTTCTGATTGGATTTCCAAACTGGAAAAGCAGTTTCTTTGGTCTGAGGCTTGTCTTTGCATGTCCCTCTGTCTGCTGTGGTGTGTGGCATTCTGCAACGTGAGGAATGAAGACMATGCAAGTTTTGAAAAAAAAAAAAGTAAATATAAATAAAAAGTTCACAAATGTGTAAATTAACATTAAATGTTTATAATGAAGTGGAAAAAGTCAGTAAGAAAGAAAGAAATATATGCAGACGTTTGACTAGAATTGACAAATCAAAGAATTTACTTTGACATCATTCACTGAGGTAGAGAGCATCTGTTGATCTATGGGGTTTAAAACGTTCAGATCCCGGTCCTCAGATAACATGCCTGCAGAAAAATGAGATGACATTTTAATCGTCATTTCATTCAAGAGGACAATCATTAATTAGTGGAGAAAAGGGCAAGAAGGGAGCAATAATAGACAGCAAGGAGGGCTGGTCCTGTTTTGGGCATGGAGCTGGACAAGTAGTGACGATAGGATGACCCCATCATCAGGTAGAGAAGTGTGTTCAGTGCTGTTGCCATGCTCAATTTAAATAAATAAATAAATAAATAAATAAATAAATAAATAAATAAATAAATAAATA